GAATGAGGTGAATGGAGTTGAGTTCTGATCGTAGAATGAACTAGAAATTTAAATACAATGCAATTTCTTTAGTTAGTTTTTCTTTTCTTTTAAACTTTGGGGTAGGGATTGGGGTGGAAAATCATGCATTATCGGCCAATAACGCACTGCAATCAGCCAATTAGCTTCCAGAATTTCATGCTCTCAAAGTTTTGAAATTAATATGTTTCCCTTGTATTTTCCAGGAAGTAAAAACAAACCCAAGCAATTACGACGCATGGTTTGACTACCTGCGTTTGATGGAGAGCGAAGCAGAGCCAGACGCTGTACGGGAAGTGTATGAAAGAGCAATAGGAAATGTCCCCCCTGCTGAGGAAAAGCGACTGTGGAGGAGATACATCTACCTGTGGATTAACTACGCTCTATACGAGGAACTTATCGCCAAGGTGAACATGGACCACGGGCAGCCAGTCTCTCTTTTTTCTTAGTCGTCGAGCAGGACGGGCGAGACACGAAACGCGCGCGACTGAAGGCGCGAGATGAGAGTGGCGCGAAATATGAGACACTTTTTTCTTCTCGCGCTGCCACCCTCGTTTCTTGCTTCTCTCGCGCGGATTCGCCGCTTGACGCACTCCCCTCACTAAATCTGAAGAAAAACAGAGACTGCTCACAGTCCAAGGTGGCAGAAAGCTTGACATTTACCTTTAAGGTTATACAAGGCCTTGAACGTTTTCATTCATTTTAAAGTCAAGGGACACAAGCCTCTTGTTTGTTTCAAACGTCGAACTTTACATGTGCCGAATCTAATATAAATTTGCGAGAAAAATAAATTCTCCTCTTTACAGCGTAGCATTAAATTCAGCAAATGTGAAGTTCGCTGTTTGAAACGCAAACGGTTCAGGCATTACTCTGATTACGCTTTTACAGTAGCAACTCCAGCCACTGGCTGACATGCAATATTAAGACTAAAAGAAAAAATGTAAAAACTGTTAAATTTCTAATCTACCGTTTTTGTTTTGTAGGACATGGAACGTACAAGGCAGGTCTATCGGGCTTGCTTGGATCTTATACCACACAAAAAGGTGTAGTGCGATTGTAAGACAGATAACATCTTAATTCAGCATGGGTGATGTCCTAAATTACATGTAACTACAGTATACAATTGTTGTTCACGAGTAAGGTTAAAGTAAATGTTTCAAGGTTACAGTGGTTTCTTCTCCTGCGGTAGCTTACAATATTAGTGTAGACATTTCTCGCCTTAGTGTGAACAAAGTTTTCGTCTTTTTACAGTTTACCTTTGGCAAAGTGTGGCTGTTGTATGCCCAGTTTGAAATTCGCCAAAAAGATCTCAAGGCAGCTCGACAGGCATTGGTAAGTCGAACACAAAGTACTTAGAGGCTACAGATTAAATAAAGAAGAAGCGTTTTCAGGAATGAATAAGTCAATCACCATCACTCATAGCTCGACATAGCGAGGATTGATAGAGCGGGATTTACCTCACAATCCGAGCCTTAGAGTACATTGATCTGTTGTTTTAAAAACCAACAAGACTTGAATTGGTTTTATATGCAAAACATTTGAGGTAAGCATCGTCACTGAAAGGTGTTAGCACCGTGAAAAAAAGACTTCTGAGTGCAGAATGTAGAACGTCTTGCTACCTGGAAACTAAAATTTATTTTCCTCTGTTTCTAGGGCACTGCAATTGGTAAATGTCCAAAGGACAGACTCTTTCGAGAATACATTGGACTTGAGTTACAGGTTAGTAGAATTAAAACTGCCGTTCTTCTAACCTTTTATGTGGGTCATGATTTTGGACAAGTGAAAGCAAGGTGAATAGGAAAAAATCATTTCCATATCTCTGAATAGTTTCCCACTATGACTCGCTTTGAAACAGAGGATTGAAGCAACTCGGAAAAAGTCTATTAGCAATCAGCCTCTTGTGTTTGGAAGATCTTATGATTCGTAATTATGTCTAATTATTTTACAGCTTCGTGAGTTCGACCGCTGTCGTAAGTTGTACGAGAAATTTCTCGAGTTCAACTCTGCCAACTGCACCACGTGGGTCAAGGTAAACAATGTATTCAAAACGTTTTTGTCAAATTTAATAAAATNCTTAGAGGCTACAGATTAAATAAAGAAGAAGCGTTTTCAGGAATGAATAAGTCAATCACCATCACTCATAGCTCGACATAGCGAGGATTGATAGAGCGGGATTTACCTCACAATCCGAGCCTTAGAGTACATTGATCTGTTGTTTTAAAAACCAACAAGACTTGAATTGGTTTTATATGCAAAACATTTGAGGTAAGCATCGTCACTGAAAGGTGTTAGCACCGTGAAAAAAAGACTTCTGAGTGCAGAATGTAGAACGTCTTGCTACCTGGAAACTAAAATTTATTTTCCTCTGTTTCTAGGGCACTGCAATTGGTAAATGTCCAAAGGACAGACTCTTTCGAGAATACATTGGACTTGAGTTACAGGTTAGTAGAATTAAAACTGCCGTTCTTCTAACCTTTTATGTGGGTCATGATTTTGGACAAGTGAAAGCAAGGTGAATAGGAAAAAATCATTTCCATATCTCTGAATAGTTTCCCACTATGACTCGCTTTGAAACAGAGGATTGAAGCAACTCGGAAAAAGTCTATTAGCAATCAGCCTCTTGTGTTTGGAAGATCTTATGATTCGTAATTATGTCTAATTATTTTACAGCTTCGTGAGTTCGACCGCTGTCGTAAGTTGTACGAGAAATTTCTCGAGTTCAACTCTGCCAACTGCACCACGTGGGTCAAGGTAAACAATGTATTCAAAACGTTTTTGTCAAATTTAATAAAATAGCATTTAAAATGATCTAAGCTAGAAACTCATCAACAGTTTTCAAAACAGTACCACACGAAGCTTAAAGTATTGCTCGGTAGCTTTGTTATAAAATGGTCATTAGCTCTGATTTAGTTTTCCAAATCATATGTTACAACCACCCTCAGGTTCCAAATGTCAAGGGTTGTCACAATCCCTAACTTTGAAGACAAATCCGTAATGACCCTTACAAGAACCCCGGCGGGAGCGGCGGCGGGGGGGGGGGTTACTGCCATATATGAGCTATATGGGTATGTGCCGCTGTGAAGGGTTTGGTTTTCAAGCTGTTTACTGTGGGATAGAGTTTATAAATCAGAGAGTTTACGTCTAACTGATCAATTGGTTGAAGATTTTAGTCTAGACTAGGTAAACCCGGAATTGCCACTCAAAAATGTAAAAAAATAAAATCGGCAAATGTATATGTACGCAACTCAGCCTAAACGCTACATCTAGGATACGGGGATATTTTGGGAGTTTAGTCTAGAAAAGGTTAGTAAATTTCAGCTGAACTAGTTCTGGTGTAGGCTAAGGGTTCCAGGGTCCCAGCGGCACACCCCCACCCAAAAATTCCTAAAGTACCACACCACTCCCCCCGGGACAAGAACATCTTAAAGTTCCCTAAGATACCCAATATGAATTATGTACAATCTCCACCACAACTCCTCAAATTACACGCGTGGATGTGCTTCTTGATTTAGTTAAGCGGCTGATCAGCGAAACGAACAATATATATAATATAAGTTGTTGTTGCTTTCCTTCCCTTAGTACGCAGAACTGGAGACCATCCTCGGTGATACCGACAGAGCCCGGGCCCTTTTTGAGCTAGCTGTCAATCAACCGCTGTTGGATATGCCAGAGGTAAATTATAGCGGGCCTCAGTTTTTTTGTAATTCCTATGAATCACCGAGCGTCCCGTTACCTCAAACTCGGAGGCGATTTCCTGCGAGTGCGCTCTAGTAACTTACTTTTCTGTCTTAAAGGGAAAATTATGTTTTATGTATTCAATGTATAGCATCCTTAACTTGTTAAATCGGTATATAAGGTTAATAACGTACCACAACGAAATGACTTGAAAAGACGCTGAAAAAGCTAAAGCATAGTCAGTCTACGAATGCATTAAAAAAATTTCTCCTCAAGACGATTAAAGGAGGCATTTATATTTGAATTGGAATTTGTTTTCCTGAAATTTTTTTGGGACTAAAACAATCAGAAAACTTTGTTTTAGTCTAATATTGGCAAAAATGTTTTTTTTCCAGTATCAAATAGGTTCTGTTCTATCGTTGAAATCTTAAACAGGAAGTAGAATTGCAAAGGAGGGCGAACTACCCATGACCGGAAATGACGTTTACCCTTAGTTTAAATAATATTTTTTCACCCCTTTGTGTTGTACCGCCGTGATCGTCTAGTGGTTAGGACACTGCGTTGTGGCCGCAGTAACCCAGGTTCGAATCCTGGTCTCGGCATTTTTTTTTTCCTCCTCTTTTTTTGTTTGTTTTTAATTCTTCACCGTTAATTCGACAGATTTTTTTTTTTGATTCCTCCATCCGTTAGAAAAAAACTGAAGGATTTCTTCCTTTCAATAAAATAATTTTTTGACTGATATTCGTGTTATGTCCTTTCGATCTTCACACACATGACAGCTTTTTATTAAAGTTTCTAAAAACATTTCATATCTTTGACACTTAACATTTTAATACTTTATAGGTGTTGAGTTAAATCCTGATTTTCTTTCCTGGGCAGGTTTTGTGGAAAGCTTACATAGATTTCGAAATAAACTTGGAGGAATACGACAAAACCCGAGATTTGTATGAAAGACTTCTAACAAGAACACAGCATGTGAAGGTATGGACTGTGTTAACTTTTCGCCAGGGTTTGTAATTTCCGTAAGGCTCCCTTAAAACCTCGTCCAAAATCTAACCCGAACAAAAATACACTTTGTAGGAAACCTCCGCGATGGTGAATCGAGGGCGCGGAGCGAGTCTTTGAGAGTACTAGTTGCACCGAGTGTGATTTTTGCGCCTCCCGTCAAATCTGACGCATAATTTTTTTTAAATTTCGCATAGGAGAGTTTATTTGTGAAGTAAAGTTTCAATGAAGGTGTATTCCCGCTAGCAAACGCTAAATAAACCCGTACTAAACTCTCCAGTGTTTAGTCGCCATCTTAAATATTGGGGTGACCGAGGGGGGAGTTGGGGCGAGCTATGTGGAACCTTCTCAGTTCCCTCATTTCTCCTTTCAGGTGTGGATAAGCTTTGCACAGTTTGAGGCATCAACAGGAACAGATGAAAGCATGGAACAAGCAAGGTTTGTTGATGAAAAAAATTGTAATTCGTCTTGACTTATGCAAAGTATAGGGTGCATCGTCGCTATTCAGTTGTTTGGAGTTGTTTTAGTGATAACACTGTCAACCTTATTGCCTGCCGTGAATCAGCACCGGGTGAACGTAAATGTCGGCTGTGTTTAGCAGACGTCCGTGGGGGAGAAATGAATGAGTGACAAACGAACCCCAAAGGACGTCTGCGGGGAGGCTAGGTATAAAAGACTGACCGATTAAATTTTCAGACTGCAGGCCTCGTGGTAGAGCAGAGCAGGGGTTTTTGAAATCTTTAGCCGTGGCATGTTGCTCGCTCGAAATATGATAAGCTTAAGTCTAGGATTAGTTACCATGGCAACGCTTATCAGGGCTGAGTTGTTCAAAGCTGGGTTAAGATAACCCAGGGTAAGTGCGAGATTTGAATTCAGATTTGAAAGCTTAAAAAGCATTTCAGTTTCAATTCTTTTTGTCTACAAGATGATGCTTGGAAGCTCTAAAAATAACAGAGAAAACTATCCGAGAAAAATGCTTTAGAACACAAGAACAAGAAAAAGAAAACCGGGGTTAAATATAACTCCGGGTTAAGCGCTAATCGGCCTTCGAACAACTGGGCCCAGGCTTTTAGTTAACCCTAGATTAGAGTTAACCGAACTTCAAACATCCCTAATCGTCTCGATCTTCTGAATCGTCCCAAGGATCGTTGAAACGATCCAGCGATGCTGAGGTTTTCCATTTAATCTTCTTGCCCGCCAGTGGAGATCAGAAGCGCGCGCTTTGCCAATCATTCTTGACATTATGTGTCTAGTTCTTCAAGAGCTATAATCTTTTCCTGAATCCTTTTATTTTCTTCAGGAGTGTTTACGAACGTGCTGACAAGTCGCTTAGAAATGTAGAAGAAAAAGAAGAGCGGGTCATGCTGTTAGAAGCGTGGAAAGAGTTCGAGGTATTTCATCTTTGTCGTATGCCCATGTGCCCCCTATTGCCTCTTTCGCGCTCCTCTCACGTTCGCGCGCGTCTTAAACGCGCGTCTAACCTTCTGTTTCGAACGCCTGTCAAGCTGCCTTCCACGCAGGGCTATCGGTCGTTTCGATACAAGTTTATTCAGTCGACTTGTAAATTTTTTCACGTACTTGGCTTAAGGAACGAAGAATATTAACCCAAAACGTTTTCCTGTCCACACGCAAGCCATATAGTGAAGTGGTCGAAATTTTTGTGCAGTTTCACTGCTCGAGTTTGTATCGAAACGACCGCGGTACTGAGACGAAGCCATACTGAGTCGGTGTGACACTGGCTCCTCTATTTAAGTCAAATACTGTCTTGTTGTTTCAGACTGAACACGGAAACGACACATCACAAGAAAGAATTAAGAAGAAGATGCCTCGGCGTGTAAAGAAACGAAGGAAAGTCCAAACAGACGACGGGGTAGGGGATATAGTTTCATTTCAATTTGCTTGTCTTTTTGCTATACTTGTTTTTCACTAGCCCTCGAGCAAGCTGTCCATTTCGAGTGGCGAGAGAAGTGAACCGCGAGAAATCGCGCGCTCTCGCGTGACTTCTTGCAAAATGGAGAGCTTGCTCGCAGGCTAATTTCCACACGGTTCTTTGTTGCTCGGCCCCTTCCGGTCTTCACAAATTTATTGGACGATTGAGCACAATAAACCCTTGTAATTTCGTTAGAGGATACTCCCTCAACGTTTGAAAGATACCGGATACCGAACGACCACCATCTTTTGAGGAGTAAACTTTCTCTCTGTTTCGTTTGCAGTCTGACGCCGGCTGGGAAGAATACTACGACTACATTTTCCCCGACGACGAGGCAAGCATGCCGAACTTTAAACTTCTCCAAATGGCTAGGCTTTGGAAAAAGCAGAAGGAAGCACAAAATGAACAGTAACAGTAGCCGCTACTTTGTACAGAACGGTCAGCGTTTCGATAATAAAACTCAGTTAAATATGGAAGGGAAATAACCCAAGCTTCATTCGTTCAATGTTTTCTTTCGTCTATCGAACGTGGTAAATTATTGAAAATGTTGAGTTTGTAGCTAAGTAGTGGTGGCCTCAGGCATTTCTGCTTTTTTTAAGTTGCGAGAATTCATCGCGATACTAACGCAGGAATGTTTTGCTAAATAAAAAGAAAAACAAATTCAAGTGCAAAATATCAGTGAACTTTTTAAACGCACGTGCTGAATGCTGTCCCGTTGGCACGTGCGGCATGGTTTTTTTGCGCACGTGCAAACAAGTTGTTTTGATGTAAATAAAACTTTCCAAAATGTTTTCAATACTGGTTAAAAAGGAAGAATAACTTCATCAGTTTGAGCTGCGGCATTAGTTTCCTCGATAAGTTAGCAAATTAACTCTTGGATGATTCAACCGTCTCTTCTCTCAACGGACAAATATAGAATTTTAAATGGTGTAAAAAAATAACCAACCTTTATGTAAAAAGAAAAGCAGTTTAATTCACCACTAGATAGGTTTTCCTTTTTAAAGTTACCCATAATTAATAACATAATCATTGTTTCTTAGAAACCTATAAATTGCAAAGTACCTTTCATTTTTCATGACTTTAAAAAGTCTCAATTGATATTTCTTCTGGTGACATACTAATATAATTAATTTAAATATGTATTTTCGGATTAACCTTTTTATATATTACAGTATTTT